GTTCGCTTGACTCAATTATCTATCTCTTCAATCTATCTGCATATCTATCTCTGCCCTATTTGCCGGGCTTATATACTAGAAAAGAGGGCGTCCCGAACAAACGAGGAAATTCACGATCATTCGAGAAACCTCTCGCACACGCCACCTGCGCCAATGCGCCAGAAGCGTCACGTGACTTCCGCTGTCGTAACAGTAATATAATTTAACAATTAATAACTACTCTGCATGTAGATAGTACTGTACTTTACTGTAATAAAACATACATCTTTATGCTAATTTAAAACTAGCTCCCCATGCAATGTTATAACAGAATGATGACTTGTTGACTTTTTCATTGGATGTTTGTGGATTTTATTTGATCAGCCATGCAGTTGTTTAAGCTATATTTCATGCAAAATTTCTCCCAGATTTAATCTCATAGCAACAATTTTTTACAAAATTTCTGGGGACATGCCCCCAGACTCCCGTAGCATTAGCGTGCTGATTGTGCTTCGTACAGTATATGCTGGCTTTGGATCTCACAAATTAGGACCCCTTTTCAAACATCTGCGTACGGGCCTGGTTTAGTTTTGAACTGGTAAATAGAGATGCGATGTTTTAGAGAAATGAAAGTTTCTATAATTAACTGTATTTTAGCTGCTAGAGGAAGATAAAATTCGCGCTTAAAGACAATCCTTCAACGCTATTGTAAGCTTAAGTGCTAAATATAAGAGATACGCCTAAAACAACAACAACAACAAAAATCCAGCTGTACTAGGTTTAACGGCTAATGTAAAGAATCAGCCTAAATAAAATCTTTCCAAGGTTTAATAGGCTTAGCAGCTAATGTAAATGATCATTGTTTAACATATGATCGTTTATCAACGTTTATCACATTTAGAACTTTTGTCGAGGTACGGTTGAGGAGTATTTATGTCACGTACGTGCGATTTTTTTTTATACCTGTGGTGGGCAGAGCACAGATAGCCCAATGTGTAGCTTTGTGCTTAATTACAAACAAATGTTCAATCAATATCATAACACGAAAATCTACCGACAAGCTTGTAATTATATGCGGCCTTAGTATTACACATTAGCCATAGAGATCATATTAGATGATGTATTATTTCAACTATCATTTGAAGTAGACGATGGAATTATAACCGCTACCATTGATTTTATTTTGTCTTTTACTTCTTTAGAGCAATATTCCGTTGGATTACTGTGAAAAATTTAAACAATATGACCTTTGATAATGACATTCATGGTGACACGCCCATGGCCCTCTTGCGGGGAATCAAGAATGGGATGGAAAGTTATCACGTGCTTTTTAAACGCCTTTGCAGGTACATCGTTCTCTTAGAATTTGGTGTTCAAGCTCTACTTAAAAATATAATTTTTAAGATACTTAGAAATTTGTAATATATTTGGCGATTATGACACACGTCTGAAATATATAAAATATCTTTCTTAATTTAAATAATTAATATTAACTTTAGCAGTGGTTGACTTCTTTTAAGGAATATCGTTCTCACTGGCTGCTTAATTGTTAATAATTTCATGTGGTTTTTCCAAATTATTGAATTATAATTTTAGTTTGTTATAGTTACATATGTTTTGTTTTGATATGTATAACGTTCATAACTATTCCAAGTTTTAAATATGTTATATTTTTTTTAGGATTAACAGATTGAGCAATCTATTAACATAAAAATAACGACCTACATTCCCAGAATGTATCTTTATGTGCTCAATAACTTGCAAATGTCCCCCAGTGGCACAGCGGTATGTATGCGGACTTCCAACATTAGAAACCGGTTCTCGATACCCGTGGTGGGCAGAGCACAAATGGTCCACTGTGATCAAATACAAACAAGTTTGCAAGTACAACTTAGTTAGGAGTTATGATACAATTAAAAACTAAATTGTGATCAGTTAGTCAAACATAATGTTATAATGTGTTTTATCCTTGGGAAGGTTCTTTCGATTATTTTGTAAACATAATGCGAAGTCCAGTTCATGAATTGATAATGAATTAATTTATTTCTTAAATAACATTTACTACAGGCTACGATCACTGGTAGACCTAACTTCACAAACAACGTTTCAACATAAATTACGAAAATAATGTACGCCTAACTCACAAATAGACTTACTTGCAGAATTTCCTTTCTAATCGATTGATAACAAACACAATAAGCACGCTGACTAGCTTCTAACTGAATTATAGATGAATATACACAATAACTCTCACTGTTTAACTCACTAACTAACATTAAATTGAATAACCAATTATATGAACTAACTCACTCAGTCTAATTAATACCGATTAATAAAAGAAAGTTTCTAATGCCTTATTTTACTGGACCTAAATCATCCTTTCACCAAGTATTTTCGGAGGCTTTCTTTTCTGGGGCTCATATTATGCAGATGGGATGATAACTCGTTCATTATTGTCACTTGTTGTGCTGTAACTAGGGGAATTATCCGTAGGTAGGTGGTAAAGCATATCCATTGGCTGGCGGATCTGTATTTGGTAATTTCGTTGAAGTGGTTTCTAGCATGGGAACTTACAAACTTGCTTTAACTGTTTTTTGGGTTAAGCTTTGAAGACTTACCGTCAATGAATACATGTTGAAAGACAGCTTTGAATTCTTTAGTGAAATACGACAAATGCAGTTTGATAATAATGGTTATTTGCGCAAGCTTTGATGTTGAGTCGTCGTATACAAACACATCACTAGAAGAAACTATACAGTTGAATGCTGATTTGATTTTTAACAATAACTCTGATAATCTTAGCATTCCCAAATCATTTTTTTTAATTTCAAAAATTTCTCAATAAAGAAATCGCATTTTCTGCTTGATGGCGCCTTCTTCGGCCAATCTTTTTCTGGGATACCATGAAAAACATGGAAGCTTTTAAACCTCTTCACTACCATAGGTATAATAAGTTATGCCAGAGAACATAATTTTACATCGAAGTAAATATTAGAACAACTGCGCGTCTACTTTGTGAATATTTTTTTCTTTAATTGTGTTTTATTTTAATTTTGCAAGATAATTATTCGCTGTCTGCTGTTTTGAAACACTGTGTGTACTGAGCTATAAAACGTATTCGTTATTCATTTCGTATGTTTGTAATGATTACATTATTCTCCAAAATGCATCTTTAGATTCAAGTTACGTAATATAGGTATATTTTGATTCTTCGGATGACCATCGGTCAACGATGGCCAAGACGATGTTCTCCAAAGCTTTATGAGTTGTGTATTCGGTCATACTTGAGTCGGCTAATCTTTGATCTACGGACCTGGTTACAACTAGTCAAAGTTTCCAGTAATAACAGATTTCAGTGCAATTTTTAAGTATTTCATTACAACGTAAAGCAAAACAATTTCGATGTAGCAACAATTACATGAAATAAATAAACTATTATAGTTATAAACGCTCTTATAGCAAAAGAAAAATAGGAGTATTACCATGATTATTTATTTATCAAGCAAGTTGCTAGAAATTTGTTCTGAGAATAGAGTAATATTCTGAGTTTGAAAGTTTAGTATGGTAGCTTCACCTATCGATAAAATCAGATACGATTCTCATGCTATTGAAATTTTACATATGGTGGCATGTAGTTTTTATTGAATAATAAACCTATCATTTTTATGTATAAGCTTAAGAACTCTAATACACTCCAAATCCGACAGAGTTTGGAAAGTCTAAATATTGACCGTAACTGAGATAGAAGTAACTAATTTTCACGTTTCTGAAAAAAGAGAAAAAGAACCACATTATTTTTATTCGATGATGATTACATCATTGTTCAGGAAGTGAGAGCGGATACGATTGTTAAAACTGAACTCTAGTTTTAATAATATTTCAAAATTTTAATTGTGTATATTAAACATTTGCTAGTGTTTAATATGATGATTGTTTCGTGGAAGAAATCATTATTTTGTTCGTGGCTATTAACGTTTTCTTTTTAGAAACGACTCTTATTTCTTAATGAAGAATAAACAGGTTCTGTACTTAATATTTTTACAAGCGAGTAACATGTCAAACGAGTCAATAATTATCCACATAGAATACAAGAAAACTTTAAACTGGTTTTTAAAATACGGACGAGTTCTTTCCAGATCTTGTTTAAAGATAACATAATTTTTTATTTTAAACCTAAACTTACGGAAGGGTTCATTAAAAAAAACAATAAAGTCTAAATTATTCATGAGCCAAATTGCTTGCTGGTCTATGACTTTGTTGGTTAGGAGGTTCTATAATAATATAAGGCTGAAACAAAAAATTAAATCACTATCAATATTACTATAATCCCACTAATTACTGTTGAGGTTTCTTATGTATTTTATATAGAAAGTAGGTGACTTTATCCAAGTTTTTAGTCACTTCTTTACATCAGTAGTGAACAGTATAAAAACAAGTCAGTAATTTCAGAGGTGAGTGGTGTAATGTATCCATATTTATGAATATTTGTAAGGAAAATATGTTTTCTTATTAATGTATTAAATATTCGTTGTTGCAGTTACGCAGGCTTGCACTGTGTCGTAATCAAAGGATATTCTAAAAGTGCTGGCTATCAACCTGGAGTCTCAGTTGAAGATAGTCGCTTTCGGAACTCATGGAATGCTGTTTACGTTGCTGGAGCTTGGCGTTTCGTGCAATGTAACTGGGGCGCACGCCATCTAGTGAATGCTAAAGAAACTCCAAAGCCTGGTAGCAAAAACAAAGACGATAGCTTACGTTACGAATACGACGATCATTATTTCCTCACGGATGCTAATGAATTCATCTATGAATTTTTTCCTCTTCAACCAGAGTGGCAACTTCTAAAGAGACCCGTTACCTTGCAAGAGTTTGAGGAAAATCCTTTTGTACGATCTTTATTTTTTCGATACGGTCTGTACCTGCCAGACGAGGAGACGAAAGCGACAATGCGCACCGACGATAGTGGCGCAGTGATCGTGCGGATTGGAATGGCGTCCCAAATGTCTTCGAACTTAATATTTCATTACAGTCTAAAGTTTTTTGGCACTAATATTAATACTTACAACGATATAAACCTCAAGAGATTTGTTATGCAGTCCGTCGTGGACAACATTGTATCATTTCGCGTGCACGCTCCATGCAGAAGTATCCTATTGTTGGACATATTTGCTAACGCTATTACTCCACAAGAGTATTTGACGGGAGAACCAATGAAATTCAAGAGTGTATGTAAGTTTAAAATATCGTGTGAAAACGTTCAGACGGTGATGGTTCCCTTGCCAGATTGTGCCAGTGGGGAATGGGGACCCACGAAGGCAATGAGGTTGTTTGGTCTCATCCCGCTAACGCATGAAGAGGCCATAATCTTTTCGTTCCATAATTTGGAAATAAAGTTTCGGATGTCGCGCCCTCTAACGGACTTCATAGCAACTCTGCATAAGAATGGAGTAGAAGAAGAGGCACTTTCTAAATACGTTTCTCATAAGGTAGATAACGAAACAGTCACATTCTTTTTAACCTTTCCTGAGGAAGGTCAGTATGGAATTGATATCTACACGCGGGAGAAGACCACGAGCTTGCAAAGTTCAGATAATCAGCTGCTGACTCACTGCTGTAAATACATGATAAACAATAGGCGTTAATATCTGTGGGGAGTTCAAAATGATTGGAATATGTAGAAGGTGAGAAATAAAGAAAAAGACAATAATAAAACGCAATTTCGACCTTATAAATATATAACTATTACAACAATAAAAACCCGAACGTTTTTTCCATTAATCTATTTGATACTTACATTAATATACATATATCGCATTGAATAAAATGCTTTATGATATATTTATATGTGAGCTTTTGAAATAAAATTATATTTTCTTATTCTATACCATGTAATAATTATATATATTTCCCTGAAACATGAGATTATTTAAAAGTTACATGAATGAAATCAGACAATTGCGAATAAGGTTGGTACGAGCATAATAGCCTTTACATTTTAACTATTACATTTAGTAGACTTGGTCCTGATAGAAATATTTTAGTGGCTCAGTCTGATTTCCTACTTAGCTTATAACTGTGGAAAGGCGGGAAACAGGGAGGGAGCCAGGTGAGTGACTATAATTATAGGTTCATTTTAACAAGAGCAGAGTGCTGAAAATTTGTATTCCAGTATCTTTTACACATAAAATAATTAGAAAAATTACTATTTAAAAAGAAGATATATAATCCATATAAAAATAGTTATCAATTTGTAGACTTGATAGCAGCAGGAAGATGAACATGGTACACTTCAAAGTCTATCGCAAAAAATACTGTTGTTGTTTTTAGGGTTTACAAGATATTTATATTATGAGAAATTTCTGTGTTTCTACTGTAGTCAGATTTACTGATTTTTCGATATGTCATTGACCTCGGAAATACTATTTATTATTATTATAGATTAATAATTAAATTTGTATGTGAAAACGGCTAAAGTAAAATGTTTATAATTATGTTTATTTTTTGCTTGCTTGAATCCATTATTGTGCGTCCACACGTAATACGACTTTTCCTTAATTGTCTAAGTACTTGTAACAATATCGTGCTTGTATATGAACAATTATAAAAACTTGATGAACAAAATTTTAAGAAGTTTAGATAATGTGCAAAGTAAATTCAAGCGCTTTTTGCTCTTAAAACGCTATCGTATTTTAATACTCTGTCAATGAATATATTATAACTTTGAAAAAAACAAACAAAAAACAGTAACCGTACTTGGAATGAACAGACTTCCAACTCTTCGCCTGTTGCAAATTCTATACTTTTCAGTGTTCTCACTAGGGTCCCACAGTGAAGGGTCCCGGACTCTCAACTTTTTTCCCAAAATTCCTAGTGAGATTTTCAAGGGTTCGATGGGTAGAATTTAATAAACTAAAAAAGAAAAAAAAGAGCACTTCAGTGTCAAGGAAAAACTTTATTTACAATGTACACTATATGTTTACCTTCTGCAAGCGGAAAAGAGTATGCCAATGTTCAATGAAAAACTATATTTACAATTCACACTGCATGTTGTTTCCCTTTATGATTGCAAAGCAATTTTCATGATACGATTAAAAATACTTTTCTTCATCTGAAAATCTTCAAATATCATTTGCACAACCCCTAAAACCTCTTAAATAAATATTATGTTTTTGTTTTCATAAAAACTATATTTTATCAGTTATTTTCTTTACCCTAACTTTATATCAGATCGGTTGATTTGACCGACCTAGTAACCATCATAGAAAATTAGGAAATAATTCTAAATTTCCCCTATTTGCTTCTGGAATGAATGCAAATTGCGTACGGGACTCAGGAGTTTGGGTTAGCTATAGCTTTCCTTTTTCGTATATATTTTATGCCAAATTAACTATAACGTACGATGTGTACTAAGTTGATTTTATGAACTATTTAACCGATAGTCAGACAATGTGAAATGTAATTCAAGAATATTAAAGTACATTAAAACAACCAAGCTCCCCCCCCCCCCGAAATGGTTCAGAAGTAAGTCTGAAGACTTATACGCCAAATACCGGATTTCGATACCAGTGGTGGGCAGGGTACAGATAGCCCATTGTGTAGCTTTGCGTTTAACAACAAACAAACGAAAGGGATTAACTTTAGGCACTAGTGCCATCTATAAGGTACAATGCAAACTACTCATTTTAATGTGCTGATCTTGGTAAATGAGTACTTATATATGTATGAAACCTCACAGAAACAATGCTGTTTTTCACTAAGGAACAGAACTGTGTCGTTTAATACCAGGAGTGCAGCCTCTGACAGGTTCTTGTAAAATTGTTCAGAGCATTTTAATGGACCCTGACTTGGGTTTTTAACATGAATCTTATGTTGATTCATTCTATATCTTAAAATTTCAGTTTGGCCAACGTAACATTGACAACATTTTAATATATAGATACAGTTTTTAGAACTGTAAGAAAACTATCTTTTGATTTCTGTTAAAACAGGAACAATCGAGCCAATTCTAGCTAATTTCGATTTTAATTTACTTTTCAAAAATAAATAAACCATGAAATTGCTTTAAAGATAGGATTGTTTGTTTTGAATTTCGCGCAAAGCTACACGAGAGCTATCTGCGCTAACCGTCCCTAAGTTAGCAGTGTAAGACTAGAGGGAAGGCAGCTAGTCATCACCACCCATCGCCAACACTTGGGCTACTCTTTTACCAATAAATAGTGGGATTGACCGTCACATTATAACGCCCCCACGGCTGAAAGGGCGAGCATGTTTGGTGGGACTGGGATGCGAACCCGCGAACCTCAAACTGTGAGTCGAGTGCCCTAACCACCTGGCCATGCTGGACCTTAAAGATAGGAATTTTTAATCCAAATTCCCAAACCTAGAAGTTTATTACACTTGTTTCCAAATGTAGTATACTTACGTTTTTTTTTTCATTCTGGATGAGAGGAAACTCCCGTTTATGGTTTCAAGAGATTGTTTGTTTTTGTTTGTTTGAATTTCGCGCAAAGCTACACGAGGGCTATCTGCGCTAGCCGTCCCTAATTTAGCAGTGTAAGACTAGAGGGAAGGCAGCTAGTCATCACCACCCACCGCCAACTCTTGGGCTACTCTTTTACCAATGAATAGTGGGATTGACTGTCACATTATAACACCACCACGGCTTAAAGGGCGAGCATGTTTGGTGGGACTGTGATTCGCAAATTGCGAGTCGATCGCCCTAACCACCTGGCCATGCCGGGCCAGAACGAGAGGGCTGGTGATAAAAGTTTGGATGAATTAATGTAATCAATATATCTAATTTAAATTATACAGTCAGCTGCAGTTTAAACCTTTTCTACTAAAGAAAGATGAGTTAGCTGTGGTTTGATATTTCAATATGACGACATCGTTAACTTCTCCCTCTCTATTGGTATTTTTCAAAACTTTTCTTAAAAATTATTTTTCTTGATATTCTGGTAGAAAGATGTACCTGATGCCCGCTTCTCAAAATATAACTTTTTTCACTGCAATTCCCAAAGCTTAGGCCGTCATGTGTCTTGGGAAATTACGTTTAACTTCGATTTTGCTTTTCTTTTAAAGGAAAGATAAACTACGTAAAGGCTTTAAGAAAAGGAATATTATACCAAAATTCTCACACTTAGAAGTTCTTTACAGTTTCCAAATTTAGTCCACATTAAAGTTTATTTTCATTTTCTTGTTACAAGAGAAATTGTTAACTTTTCTTTATACTCCTAATGTTTCAGGCTTGCTGTTTTTAAAGAAATATAAACAATCAAAGGTTTAACATAATTTTGCATTAAAATACGCACTTTTTTGGATGTTTCAAAGTTTTGTCATCAAAATTACTGAGGCTTAACATTTGGTATTTTTCAAAATGTTTGTTTAAAATTCTTTTTCATGTTATTCTGCTAAAAAGATGCACGCTTCTCAAAATATAACTCCTTTCATAAAAACTCTCCCAATTTAAGCCTTAAATGTTTTGGAAATTCCGGCTAACTTCGATTTGACTTTACTGCTCAAGAAAAGATAATCCATGGAAGGCCTTTAAAAATAGGAATTATCAATCAAAGTTCCCAAATTTAGAAGTACATTATGTCTTGTTTCCAAATTTGTTCCGCCTTTAAATTTATTTTCATCCTGGATAACAGAAAACATATTTAAGCTTTGCAAAAGATTTTTTTTATCATATTCCTAATTTTTCAAGCTTGCTGTTTTTCTAAGAAATATACAGAATCGGAGATTTCACACTTAATTTTGCATTCACATACGCAATTTTTTTGCGTGTTTCAAAAAAAAAAGTTTTTCTTTTTCATCCAATTTCCCAAACCTTAAGCCGTAATGCGTCTTTGAAATTCTGGCTAACTTCAATTTTACTTTACTTATCAAGAAAACATAAACTATATATGGGCTTTATAAATTGGAATTTTCAATCAAAATTCTCATATTTATTCAACCTTCAAGTTTCTTATCACTCTGAATAAGAGAAATCTCCCGTTTAAGTTTTGCAAGATATATATATCATATTATACTCCTAATGTCTTAGTCTTGCTGTTTTTCTAAGAAATATACACAATACGATAGGAAAAAATGATTGATAATAGCTTTTATTCCAAACATTTAAAATATATTTTACGAAACAAAAAGAAAGTAAAAGCAGTTAAATTAATTGACTCTGAATAAAAGGTGGTAAGTTCAGTATTATTTTTTAAATTTTATAAATAATTTACATAGAAAATATGCGCAAATGTATCAGTTGTAATATACTCAGTTTAAAATATTAGGTCGTCAAGAAACTAATGTCGCTTGTTTCAGATGAAAAAACCGAACAACTTATATATTAAAACAAAACATTTATTAAATTAAATAGTCTCCATTCTTATCGATGATGCCTTTCCA